TTACAAACTGCTGCAGGTAGAAATTAATGTCTGCAAACAAACAAGGGTAAATTTTGTTACGGTATACATGGACAAACTTTTAACTCTTCAAAAATACTCTTTAATTTTTTTTGGTGATATTTCTGATGCCCCAATGTGTTTGGTTTTTTTAATATCCTCCACATTCTTTGTTCTTTTTGCAGCAAAAAGAGTTGTGGGAGAACTAGCTATCCAATAAGCCAAGGATTGTATTTTAGATTCTTAAAAAGGAGTTGATTAAATACATAATTTGCTGGGAGGTGGTTACTTTGAGAGGCATTTGTCTATGCAGCTGAAGGCTTAATAATACAAACTTTGTTAAAAGGATTTGAACAGAGATTTCCTTATTTTTCAATAGATGGTGATAATTTATCTCCTGACACTTTTCTTCGTATTTTAAATGAATTCTTCTGATGCTGCTTTAAATCCTCAAATGCAGCCTAACACAGGACTTCAGGGTCTCCAGCTGTAACAGCCCACACCAACAGTTCTTGGGGTTTTACCTCAAAGCATCATACTGCTTTAAGCTGACACTTATGCTTTGTCTTTTTTCTGTAATATTTTCTCTTTCAGAAGCTGTATGTTCATCAAGACGTTGCACTGTAAGCAGAAAGCTGCGTCTGCTTTAAAATTGCTAAATGCTGGCTACATTTCCTTAGCTGAGGTTTCTGAGGTCTCTGCTAAGAGAAATTGTGAGTCATTTAGGAATTTAAGACTGAGGCTAAAAAGAAGCTGTAAAATAAGGTTATTAGAATATGTAAAAAGACCAAAGTAGTCACTGGCTTTTTTTTTTCTTTTTACAGTTATGACGCTGTTCTTTCAAAACACAAAACCTTATTTTATGTTAATTTTTAAGCAAACAGTGATGTATTTATAGGCTTGGACCTGCATGCAACACCTCGGCAGATAGTTAAGTCCTGAGCTGCTTTTTAGACATACTTTGTGCAACAAGTATGGTAACTGGTTGCAGCAAAGTATATAATCAGTGCTCAGTAGGTTGTACATACTTGTATATTGTCAAGCCTTAAATGCCAGAGTTTGCAAGGCTGCCCTAAATGCTAAGCACAATCCGCAGGATATATTAAGAAATGCATCTCGCCATAGGAGTAGTGCCGGTGGTGGTTACGCTGTGAGAGGGAGCTCAAGCCACGGTCATACGAGTTGAAAACCTAAGTCACTTTTGGACCCAGTTGGGATAGAGCTCCATTCCTACTCACTTTCAAAGTGGCATGCATCACGCCTACTTACCTCACCCAAAAGGTACCGGGGAAGACATTTCATCGGTCAGTCAGCCTCCTAAGAGACCCCTCCTTTTTCCCAGCAGCTTGGATGGTTATTGGTGAAAAGTGAATTAGAAAAATCACACACTGAGATTTATAATAAATTAAAAATTCACATCTTTTATCCAAGCTGTGAAAAAATTCAGTACGCTCAGCATTTGATTTCTATTAGTTTCTACTACTGTTTTCAAATGTATGAGCTGTCAGTGCTTTGAAACGGAAATGAATGGAATCAATTTTAAGTAATGATTTTTAATGCAACATAAGACTAAACTTTGTAAATAGTATTGGTTTCACATCGTAACAGTTTCTGGTAACTTGAGGATGACATGACAATCAATTAACTACCAGTTGAGCTGCTCCCATCTTACTTGTATTAATTTGTAACAGTGCCAATATATTTAAGGAAATTTCTTAAACTGTTAGGTACACACACATAAAGAATCCATTTGTACCGGTGGGTGCCCCACCTATTCTGAAAAGAGTCTAATGATGTAGGTGACTTGGGTATTAAGCATACCTGAACTATTTTATGATTGAAAGCTTCATTTATTTGAGGTAAGTTTAATAACAAATTATTTATTTTTACTTATTAAAACAATTGCTATGGAAGCATAGATTTATAAAGCTGGCTAAAGACACCCAATGGCTAACGAATTAGTAAGAGTGCTGCCTCTTTTAATGATGTACGATGAGAATATGGACTGACATTGTATTAAGTGACAGTTGCAACCAAGTTAAATAGAAAGCACTACCTATGTCTTTGTAAATACATGAAATGTAAAATCTAATAAATAGGAAAACTTTAAGTAGTGATGTTGTTGCCTGGTTATTTTGTGTAATGGTGTCTGAAAAACTTTTTGTTACAGTTATTAACGTTATGGACAGTGATGCTGGATGCTAAGGAAATGTCTAAGAATTGAAGCGGAGCTGATGATTGTGCAGGGTTTCTGTTTAACTGGGAGAGATGCCGAAATAGGTGGTGTAACTGGAAGGGAGGGAGAGTATTTGCACCACTTAGTTCAGGTGCCCACATGAGATACTACCTCCCTGATTAAACAAGGAGCTTCGGGCATAGGAACTACCACTCTCAATCCTTTGCTTAAGGAGCACCTTCTTCCCTTTAGTGTGGGACTTCATCAGCCAAGTGCAAAGCTGAATTGACCCAAACAAATCTTAAGGATGGGTTTCTTGATGTTGCCAGACTGAAGGAAAGCCACGTCAGTTCCTCTGCTTTCACCCAGAGCTCTGCCGCAGAAGTTCCTAGGTTGTAACCCCGGGGAAAAAGTATCCAACACCTGAGCTGCGGAGTTCTGCTGAAGTCCCCTGAGCTCCAGGGGCCCTTTTGGCTATCGGAGCTGTAATTGCATCAGGCCTGGGACAGTGTGATTCACTGCGTAAGACTCTTTCTTCCTGCATTGTATCTGGAGTAATTCATGATACGAGTATCTGCCCTTCATTTCAAGTAACAGTATCCAGAATACCACTTTGGAGAAACTGCAATACCAATCTGTAATTTAAGGTAGGCATAAGAGTGAACTGTAGCCCAGCTAGAGTCAAGCAATCAAAAGTTTTTACTTAATTGATGCTGCTCCCATTACAAAAATAAGCATCCACAGCACGTTTATTTAATATTTAAATTACTTCATATTTTTACATAACCTGAAAAGAAAATATATTTATCCCACATACAGTAATAGTAAACAAGTGCATTATTTAAAACATTAAAAATAAATCTTTTAACAAGTCTGTACAACAGATAAATAAAATTATATCTACAATACTTAAGTTGTGAAGAACAAAACAAAAGTTATCCCTCAAACTTACAGTTCCCCATTGCTCCTAATACTGGCATAGATGAAGGTTATGCATCCTGTCCCCCACTACACTGCTCACCTATACCATTTCTTCCAGCCATCCAAATGTACTGGTCGAGGAGGTTAACTCTGTGAATGTTGGAAGTACCGCACACAAACAACAAACAGCTGAGTATCTTTTCAAAAGCTTCAAAATAGCTGGCAGACTTAGTAAAACTGCTGAATGTGGGGGAAGTGAATGATTTATTTTTTTCTTTTATATGATGAACAACTGGTCATTCTTTAAAAGAAAATGTTCTCCACCAAAAAAAAAAAAAAAGGAAGCCATTCTTTTCACAATTTTTTTTGCACTCATTGGTGGCTACAAGGTTGAATTCAATTTTTTAACTCAGATAAGATCAAAACCAGGTACGTGATAGTACATATAGTACAAATTAGGATTCATATTGTTTATAATCATATATAATTGCATATATGCTTGGAAAACAATACTGTGCTCATGTTTTTGACCACTAACAAGTAATCAGTAGAAGAATAAAATGAAAAAGCAACTAGAGGTCAAACTATCACTTGAACCAAAACCATAAACAGCAGAGAAATGACTATTAACTTCACTGAGTAAGTGGAATGTAAATGACAGCTTGTCACTACCACAGTGAAGGGCTATTTCTTTCAATTTTACTTTTTATGCTAAAGGAAAGAGTTAATAAGAAAGATGGGCACTGCTAAAAAGGATGGGAAAAAGGTTCCTCCAAACAGCTCCAACCTCATTTCATCTGTAATTCTCAGACTCGACCGTCTGCATGCAACAAGATGACCACTCAATCCCTCCTCCTCGTGGTATCAACAGATTGCCTTGCAGCCTTGGCTTGCGTCCTTTTAAATGAAAATACTGTTACAGGATAGAATATGGCACCAGTTCCCTCATGAGACCTAATTCAAGGTCACCTACAAACTCAGAGAGAGGTTTGAAGATCACCGTTCTCCTGTCCTCCTGTTTCCTTAAGATCTGATGGAGTGGATATGATGGGATTTCATCTGACTGGAAAAAGTTGGAGGTCTTCCAAAAATCCTCTATCTTGAACTGTCTTCCAAAAATTCTCCATCTTGAACTGACTCCCTGAAAACTATTCCTATGTTTGTTCACTGGGATTGTACAAAGAACTACATATAGTTAAATGAATTAGTGGAAAATGTATGAAAAAGCAAACAAATTTTCTTTTTTTTTTTGGGGGGGGGGGGGGGGGCGTACAAAAGT